TTTAAAAATTGATCTGTTTGAGCTTGTTTTTCGTGATTCTTTAGTTTCCTTTCATGACTTATGATATCAATTATGCAGATAATCTCGTTCTTGCCATCTATAGATATAATAGATGATAAATTAGTCAATTGGTTATAGTTCCTTATTCATGACCATGCTACCTAATTCGTGATATATCCATGTTTAAGTATGCAAGAAATGCTTATGGGTGTTTTGTTACCTTATAGCATCAATCTTATGATCCAACCATGTTATGTTATACCATGACTTAGAATTCAAGGACATTATGTATGTTGACCTAGGTTATACATTAGACCTTTTGTGCTTGGTATGTTATTAGGAGACTTGGTCCTAGGGGTATGCATGATTAGACACCATGATGTGGTATATACATTATAACAATGGTTGCTTATGTATGGATATTGGGCGTGTTCCCCATGACACTAAATTAAGAACATTCTAAATTTTGAATCATGAAATTTCTTAACTTGGGATATATTACGACTGTGAGTGGAGACTCGTGATTCTCCATGCTAAAAACTTGATCAAGTATAAAACTATGATCAAGCATAAAACCAAGAAAGAGGAATTAGATGCACACACTACATTTGATATCTCTGCAATGATCAAGTAAAATATGATGCACACAGTACATTTGAGAATAGTTAGATTAAGTAAAATATGAGAATAATTAGATGCACACACTACATTTGCATCACACTCTAAGAGCTAGTGCACCCTCATTGATATCTCAGTAATGATGTTGTTTTGGTAATCTGCTTTTGATCTATTCTATGTTCTGCATTTCTTGAGAAGCATGTTCTTTTCATGAAAGCAAGTAAAGTGATATAGTTATATGGTCATTCTCACATTGCTATTAGTCATGCATTCATGATACATGTTACATGTGCGCAAAGCATTCCTTCATTTTACAATGGCTTTCTAACCATCCTAGTTTGCACACCAATGGCGAACATTCCGCTCATGCTTTTAGGAACACCAGAGTCTAGTGATCTTCAGGAGATGAAGTTACTATCAACTAGCTTATCCATCTGTTAATTCAATTATGTTCAATGTTCTTGTTACCAGACCTTGTTATCTATGTTTTCTTCGTTTCTAAGTAGTGACTTCGATCTCCTTAGCTATTTCTGTTGAGACTTGTGTGGTCATGTGGCCTTGTTTTATGTATTATGTGATAACAACGTTGATATTAGACTTGTGATATTTTTTATTTTAATTCATTGTCTGTGGAACTTGTTGTTAATTGTTGAGCATCTTCCTTCTGTTGTATATTTATTTTGAATACTTGTTATTGCTATATATTAAATCCTTGTATTATTTTTATGTATGATTCTATTATAATTATGATGAATTAAATGTATGTATCGATCCTCGTTATAGGTTTAAGTACATACTTTTAGGCGCTGTTTCGCTTGATTGTATATGCTGCTTAGCCTAGTTACGTGCGTGTCAGGTACTTATGGGATAATGGGCGTGGCATTGAAACAATATCCATAGTTGGGATTTCTGATGAGCTGAACAGATTAACCCGCTACTCTGATACCAATTGTTGGGAATTAACCTCCACATTGATAGCAAGATGAGCTGAACAGATTAACCCGCTACTCTGATACCAATTGTTGGGAATTAACCTCCACATTGATAGCAATTTGTTGAAAATTGATTAGAGATCCAATCTGATACCAATTGTTGGGAATTAACCTCCACATTGATAGCAATTTGTTGAAAATTGATTAGAGATCCAATATCTTGGGTTTGGAGTTTACTGTAAAATGCTGCTAGAGAATACAAAAAAATAATAATCTCAAAGAAACTAACATGCAATCACAAAAGTAAGAACAACGAGATTTACATGGTTCGTCAAATTGCCTACATCCACGGGAGAAAGAGAGGAATTCCTTTACTTTATCAAGAAGAGGAAGAATACAAGATCTCTCAAACTCTAGCTTGCAAATCCTCACAAATACTAGATCTCTCTTTGTTTCTCTCCCTCTCTTTTGATGGCTGTAACTTCCAGGATTTCTGATGAGATGAAACCCTAACTGGACGGAAGAACCCTATAAATAGGATTCTAACCAAATACCCAAAAGCAGGGCCGGCCCTAGGGTAAGCCCACCAAGCCCCGGGGCTGGGGCAACCCAAAGCTGGGGGAGAGGGGGCAACCATCGCGATTACATCCTTCACCCCTCAAACCGTAATAATTTTCAAAGTGGACTTTGTAAGAGGACTTTTATGCAAAAAATATTAGGGGTTCTATTAGTAAAAACTCTTATTAATACCTAAAGCCCTACCCAACTCCTCCTTTATTTTCGTCAGCCTCCTCTCCTCCTTTTCGTCTCTGTTCGACCGCTCATAAAAAAAAGAAAAAAACAGAGAGAATCTGAATCGACAAAGACACCGCTTTGTTCCGCCGTCTCTATTCTGTCAGCCTCCAACTCCTCCTTTCCATCTCTGCTCCCATTCTTCGGATCACCCCGCTGACTCCTCCTCCGATAGTCTGATCCAGTCACCCAAAAGACGGAGAGAATCTGAATCTACTTATCGACGCCGACGGCTAATCGGTCCATCAAAGAAACACAATCAGGTAATTTTTTAAATAAATAATTTTAGGGTTTTATTGGACGGAAATTTAGGGTTTTGATGTTTTGCAATGAAATTAAGATTTATGATTTTGAATCTTGGCTGAATATTAGTTGTTGAATTAGGGGTTATGATGTTTGGGCGGTTTCGTCTAGGTTTTTGTTTTAAAACTGGAAATTAGATTTGATTTAGCTATTTGGGTGGCACAATTATACCCTCTAACTAGTTTCTCACGGTCTCCATAAGTTTAAAAGAAGCTTATCAAAGTTGAAAGATAGAAAGAGGAAATAATGTTTACTTATTAAAAAATTCATCTCCCTTCTAGTCATCTAAATCTTGAAAATCCTAATGGACGATAATCTGATATATTTCTATTTGGTTTTAATTATAATCTCAATTTAACTTTGATTTGATGACATTCATATTACTGGATTGCTATCTAGATTAATTGTTTGATTGTTTTAATAATAATGATATTGCTAAGTCTTCGTTCTGGCATCAGTTTAGTTGATTGTTGTGATTTCATATATATTGTCTACGCACTACCATGTCACAAGATTGAATGAATGGATTGGTAATGATATCAATTAAAAATGAATTCTCCGAGAAACTCGAGTATGATGACTTAATTGAAGAATTTGCTTCAAAAAATTTAAGGAGAAGTGTTTTTCTTTGAATTAAATTGTAGCATAAATGTAATTTTTTCTTATATGAATATTGATTTTACAAGAGAATATTATCAGTTTGAGCCCAATATAGAACGCTAAATGGTATTATATGTATTCATTTTTATCGTTATTGTTCGTAGCAAATTTTTAATATAAGGAACAACCAAAATTGGATTGGGCTAGGGCAACCTAAACCTCGGGGCCAGCCCTGCCCAAAAGCCCACAAAAAATATACTTGAAATACTCCAAAACACCTAAAAAAACGCAACTGCTACTCTACGACCATGTGTGCCTACCGCAGGCCGTTTATGCTCTGGACTTGGATCACATGCGGTGGGCGCACGCGGTCCATCCTCTGGATCATGATGGCTGCGTCACGGTCGCTGGTTGCTGCTGCCACTCTTTGCTACTTCTGCTATTTCTTTTGCTTCAACTACCATGTCACAAGATTGAATGAATGGATTGGTAATGATATCAATTAAAAATGAATTCTCCGAGAAACTCGAGTATGATGACTTAATTGAAGAATTTGCTTCAAAAAATTTAAGGAGAAGTGTTTTTCTTTGAATTAAATTGTAGCATAAATGTAATTTTTTCTTATATGAATATTGATTTTACAAGAGAATATTATCAGTTTGAGCCCAATATAGAACGCTAAATGGTATTATATGTATTCATTTTTATCGTTATTGTTCGTAGCAAATTTTTAATATAAGGAACAACCAAAATTGGATTGGGCTAGGGCAACCTAAACCTCGGGGCCAGCCCTGCCCAAAAGCCCACAAAAAATATACTTGAAATACTCCAAAACACCTAAAAAAACGCAACTGCTACTCTACGACCATGTGTGCCTACCGCAGGCCGTTTATGCTCTGGACTTGGATCACATGCGGTGGGCGCACGCGGTCCATCCTCTGGATCATGATGGCTGCGTCACGGTCGCTGGTTGCTGCTGCCACTCTTTGCTACTTCTGCTATTTCTTTTGCTTCAAAGCCATTTTAACGACTGTCTTGTTGTGAAACATTTTCGGTCAGCTCAACACGACGAATGATGCGAAAAACCGCCTATAATTCAAGGGATTATGTGAAATTAAGCATTATTACAATCAATTGGCAACCTAACATCAATATCTCTAAGTCGCCATCCACAGAAAATCATATTATCTTTTAGATGTATAACTTAGAAGGTTACTTATCAGGTATAGAAGCTATACTTAATTAAATACCTGGAATTAGAACATACAACAATTTATATGTAGATTAAGAGACCACATGAAAAAATATTTGCCATTTGGATTTATCTATAAACAGAATATAAGCCAAAAGGCAAAATTGATACCTACTTAGTTTAGGATAAATTATCCTTTCGATATCTATTTAACAGATTTTTTATAGAAATTAAAATAGAACCAACTTTACATTCATAAGACGTGCGAGGACTAAAGTTAACAAAATAAATAAATAAAGTAGTGGGTGCCAATTTGACTACGAAATCCATGCAGGGACCAAATTCAGCTTTTGCCATCACTTGGGGGGAACAAAAAGCAATTTGTCATACAAAATAGCATGACAATATCACATACAATTTATTCCAAATAAGCTGAAACAAATAACGAATACAACGATGGATTGATCGTATTAATAAAAGTCCAACATATAGGATCTGTAGGTTGAATGAAGAATAATACATACACTAGTGAAGTATCTTTAATGGAATGAATGATACATAAATTAATTTTTCAATATCTGTCCGCTACAACCCACCTCTTCATCCCAAATTGCATCTTCTTCAAGGTCCTTTCCACTAGCGCCATCATTTTTCCCTTTGTAAACATAAGCAGCCCACAAATAGAAGACAAGGTTCACGGCATTAATAGCACACAAAATCCAGTAGAAATAATCCAATCTGCTCTTGTTCAAATCATTTCTTAGCCAACCTTCCTTTGCCCCTCCTGTTAATCTATTTATACCTTTCACAATGCAACCACTCAGGAAATGTGCGACAGCTTCCTTTGCCCCTCCTGTTAATCTATTTATACCTTTCACAATGCAACCACTCAGGAAATGTGCGACAGCAGACTGGCTCAAAAAGAGTGCAGAGGTAATGCTCCTTGTTCCTTGTGACGACTGGTCATAGAAGAACTCAAGCTGACCAACATAAGCAAAAGCCTCTGCGGTACCAATTAAGAAAATTTGAGGTGCGAGCCATAGGAAACTCATGGACTTAGGATCAGAATGATTCAGGCGTTTTTTTCGACCAATGCAGCTGACATCATGGCGAATATGGAGATGAAGAGCCCTACACCAATACGTTGGAGAGAGGTTATGCCACGTGGGTGACCAGTGAACTTACTTAGAAAGGGAACAATTATGCACACATAAATGGGGATGATGATAAAAGGGTTGAGGGAAATGAAGAGGACAACCATTCCAGGAGGAACAATTTTTTCCCCTATGTTACGATTCATGATTGTGGATTGTGACATGAAGAAGGTTGAGACTTGGGAGTAGGAGACGGACAGGGCTATCGTGGTGATAAATATAGGTATTAGACGAATGACGCATTTGAATTCTTCCACTTGAGTTACAGTGCAGAGCCTCCATCTATTACTGCTAGGGTTCATCTCTCCTGATGACACTACTATAGCTTGAGTTACAGTGCAGAGCCTCCATCTATTACTGCTAGGGTTCATCTCTCCTGATGACACTACTATAGCTGCCTTATCCAAGAATCGATATTGTTGGGTGTGGTTCAATTTGGGAGCAATAAAATATCCGATTCTTTAGTTGTCACTGTAGGCGTATAAAACTGCTTATGGGTTCCTTAACAAAGCTCGGCACGACGATTCGACAAACCAACGAACCATCGGGTGACGTATCTAAACACGGGCGTTAATCCGCAACACCGAAGCCAAGTGACACGCAAAGAAGCGGATTAACGAGGCGACGAGGTTAACGAACCGCACGCGAACAACGGAATACATCCACTCGCGTGCGGAATCAAGCTAACGGTTCGGTGAGTCAACGAGTCATCTAACCGTAGAACGGATTCGAACTCGAACACCAAAGCGAATTTATTGCCAAATCAGGATACGGACTACCAAATCAGAGTTCGGATCAACAACGAAGCTTGGATAAACCACGAAACCGCAGAAATGAACGACACGGCACACCCCGGGAAGAGCTCGGTGGCCGAGCCACCTAGGTGGCTCGATGGCCGAGCAACCTTGGTGGCTCACCGAGCCACCTTGTGGTGGCTCGGCGGCCACCGAGGTGGCTCGATGGCCGAGCCACCTTGTGGTGGCTCGGTGGCCCAAGCCACCAAGGTGGCCGGCGCGAGCACCTGTGCCGAAGCCAGCCTGTGCCCTGAGCACGCCTGGTGGCCCGAGCCACCTGGTGCCGAGCCACCCTGCGTGGCCGAGGCCACCTGGTGCCGAGCCACCCCCTCCCTTCGAACGTGCAGGATCGCCGGCCGCAGATCTGAGCCGAGAGTCCGCTTTCATTGCTATAAATAGACGCCCTATGGCTCATTTCTGTCAAAGGGTTAGAATTTTTTAGAGCCGAATACTCTGCTGGATTGAGAACTCAACCTCGGATTTGCAACTTAGAAGACTCGGACTCTCAGATCTGGTTCTTGGCGATCATCCTCGCTATATTAGGCAGGAGTTCGAGAGATCAGATCTGAGATCTACACGGTTTCCCTCAGGATCAAAGCTTGGCCTTTGATCCCGGGAAGAGTCTTGATTTCGCTTGGTCGATTTCGATAACTTGGGCTATTATTTCCTTGGCAAAATAATCCCCAAGGCCGTTATTTCCTTGGTGAGATAACACCCGCTCTACCGTGTAGATCCGACCAGATCTAGATCGCGTGGTGGTCCACGGATAAACCCCGGCGTAGGCAAAGAACCCACAAAAGCGAGTGACCGTAAACAGGAGCTCGTGATTCGTTCGACATACAAGGAAAAAGTTGTAATTTTTATTTTCTTTTGATCTCGTTGTAACCGGATCTTATAAAAAGACCGGATCTTTGTGTAATCGATAAACAATTGCCAAAGAGCACAATGACGTCAATGAAAGCTACGATTTTTCCCGCGAACAATCTGACGACCACAGTGAGAGCCACCGATCTCGCTGCCGAGATCGATGCGTCGCAGCCGTGGATCTCAATCCCGATCGAAGAGGAGGTCGAGTACGAATTCGACCAACAGAAGTTCGAGGAGTATCTGTCATCCTCGTCCGGATCGACCTACCCTCGCAAGTCCAAGAAGTTCTCCTCCAGGAGAAAGGTACGTTGGTACGAAGAAGTTGAAGCTACCAACGACGATCTCACCCCGATTGACGCCAAAGTTGCGTTGGGTGAGGCTCCACCAACCTCCAACCAGATCAAGCTGGTTCCTGCCAATTCCTCCGTCACCAAAGGAGCGGTGACCCTCTCAAAGAGAGCCCGCTAAAGGTGACGCCAACGCTTAGCCAAAGAATTCACCAAAGCGATGGAGTCCACCGACGGAATCCGCTACAACGCGGATCTGAAGAACAGGAGAGGCAAACAGCCTCAACGACCGATGAATGGCGACTCCTCCAAGCTGCCAACGAACGAATGGGTCTGTGTCAAATGGAATCGTTCGACACTTGAAGAGCGCATTCGCAAGCGCCGCGCATTATCAGCGCAGGCACGGGCTCAAGTCCAAGAGGCCCGTAGAAGGCTACAGAAGGAAGTGGCCAAGAAGCCGCCACCAACCCGTCAAGTTTGGAGGCCGAAGTCTGAAGCGGCGATTCAGACTAAGGCACAATCAGTGCAGTCTTCGAAGCAGGTTCAACCTCCGGCGAGCCGACCAAAGTCGTCGGTAATTCTAATAGCTTCTCCGGGATATCCCGCGGAATCATCCCGAAGGAGAAAGTCAGTCTTGGAGCGCCTCGGTCCAATTCCCGACGAGAGAGGCAAAGCTCCAGTCCAAGAACGTTTGGGCCCGATGAAGAAGCCCCGAACGACTCAACACGCTGGGGGTCGCCGTCACCTCCAATATGACAAGGAGCTCAAGGCAGCTGCGCGCACTAATTTGCGCATCGAAGTCCAAGAGCCCGCTGAGAATTCATGCCCAAAAAGGCATGTCTCGAGGCGCATGACTCTTGAGAGCCCTAAGAAGGTAGTTCGCCCTCAGAGGGAAATGTTGTCATCTGATGACGATGACGTTATACCTGAGAAATCGTGCCGACACGCGATAGGTTACTCCGACCTTCAAACCGACGAGTTGTACTATCATGATGGGAGCATGAGGAAAATCAGGAAGAGGAGTCCCCGAGGACTGGAAACTCAATGCCCCTGTTCCAAACTCATTCGGGCAGTATTGTCTGAGTGCAACTGCATCAAGGCGGTCCCTGAAAGAGTTTCGGTTTTCGAAAGGCTCAATACCGAAACGCCAAGACCAAGGTCTACGCGTTTCCGACAAAGAAGAAGGGTAGTCGAAGATGGAGAATTTCCGAGGGTCACCACGAATATGACCAGCAAAGGGACTTCGACACAGGAGAATCCCGAGTCAATTCCGGAAGTACCCCGGCGTGTAACACGTCTGCAGTCCGGAGCCATTAGATGAGGAACTTATGGTAGGATTCGAACAAGACTTCCTTCAGAAGATGAAGAATCGGATGCATGCTCTGCGGTCGCATCGGATAATACAGTATCTTGCGAGGGACAACCCCGCGAGTCGCTGATGATAAGCGCCGAACAAGTGGCCAAGATGCTCGAAGAAGCCATGGCTAAATAGCAGGAGAGCTTCAAGCACGAAATGCAGATGGCCATGCAGAGTATGAGAGAAAGGCATGACCAACAAATCCAAGCATTGACGAACCAGCAAGGCGAACCAAGTCGTCGTAACCAGGTTAATCAGGACCAGATTGATCTGGAAGATGAGGAAGCTCACAATGCCAATAATCCTCCCGTCAATGCAGGGGGTGGTAACAAGAATGCTGATGAAGACTCAGGTGAAAACCTGAAGATTAAAAATCTCGAGAGCAAAATCAATACGTTGATTTCCGCTCAAGAGATGAAGAAGACGGACATTCCTTGTCCATACCCACGAGAATAGGAATCAATCCCCTATCCGGCGAAGTTCAGTCTAATTAACTTCATGCCGTTTGATGGGAAGGGTTCACCCACGCAGCATTTGATTTACTTCAAATCGTACCTGGGTGTTATCTCCGGTAATGAGCCTCTGATGGTACGGTCCTTCGTTGGCACTCTTCGTGGAGCCGCCTTCGATTAGTATCATCGCCTCAAGCCAGGAAGCGTGAATAGCTGGGACGACATGGAGACAAAATTCCTCGCTAATTTCTTCGATGACGACACCGAGATATCCATCGGAACGTTGCTCGACGAGAAACAAAAGGACGGGGAGTTGGTCGACACCTTCGTCAAGAGGTTCCGGGACAAGGCGATGAACTGTCGAGACCCGATCACTGAGGAGTTCATCCTCCAGACTTGCCATAACAACCTCGTACTGGACGTGCTGGAAGCAATGGGGACATCACCGTCCAAAACATGGAAGGATCTGAAGGTCTGAGGAGAGCAAGCCGAGCGATTCCTCAGGAGGAAGAAGGCGGAGAGAGGCCAACAGGCGACGAACGCTCCTCAACAGAACTTTGCCCCACGAGGGAAAGGTAAGGCACGTGCTAATGCAGTTGACGCTAACCAAACTTTCCAATTGCAACCTCAGCAACAGCCACAGCAGCGAGCGCCACAGCAACCAAAGTCGCAATGGCAACAAAGGCCTCAGAAGCAGAAATCTTCGGAGCCAAGGTTTCCTAAGGTGTACTCCTTCAAAGATGACGAAGTTCCTGGCATCTTCAAATACTTGTTGGAGAACAACAAAATCCAGTTGCCGGCGATCGTAGATCAAGAAGGGGCTAGCAAAGTGACAGATCCGAGGTATTGCGCGTACTATAGGGCGGTCCATCATCCGACGAAGTTGTGCTACCACCTTAAGGACAAGATCCAGGCGCTAATTGATGTAGGCGTCATAACCCTAAAGCCGTCCAAGAATGTTGGAGCAAATGCAGTATCAATCAGGTTTGGATCGGTGCCCACAACATGGTTTGAACCAGAACGGCGCATCACCAAAGTAGGAATGAAGATAGTAAACGACGACTCACATGGACAGCGCCAAAAAGGACTTGTGCTACATACAGCCCCAAACGGCGAAATCCTATGGGTTCATCCCGATCTAATTGAAGACGGTCAGTGGACGACTTCCTCGACCAAGAAGGGTAAAGGCAAGTCTTGTAATGCTACCTCCGCGATCTTCGAAGAGGATGGTAATGAAGCTCCTACCTTTCCGCTCTCCAAAGAAGAACAAAAAGTCTTTGCCACTAGAAGTGGAAATGAGTATCACTTCAACTATCCATCACCTAGTGATCAGTTAGCTGAGCAGGGGGTAACTAAACGGGGACCAGCTAAAACTCTCACGGAGCTGGGGGTGATTACGACTCCTAGGCCGGTTGAAGAAGCTCGACGATAGCCGGTTGATAAACCGAAAGAGAAGAATCCCCATGAGGTTCAGAATCCGAAGCAGTTTCGTTTCAATCGTCCGATTGGAAGAGACAAACCGGAAAGCTCGAAAACTCCGCAAGTCTTCGATATAATGGCTCAACTAGCCAACATTCTAGTACGGATAACGCTGTATGAGTTGCTGCGGTTGTCCAAGGAAACCAAGGAGGCATTGCAAGAAGCTTTGGCCAATTCAGAGGTGTTTCTGACTCAAATCAAGCCGGTGCCTGAAGAGCTAGAA